GGGGTAATGGCTTTAAACTTAAACAGGGGAACTTTAGGTTAGATCTAAGGAAGAAGTTCTTCACAGTGAGGGTGGTGAGGCACTGGAATAGGTTGCCCAAGGAAGTTGTGAATGCTCCAACCCTGGTGGTGTTCAAGGCCAGGCTGGACAGAGCCTTGGGCGACATAGTTTAGTGTGTGGTGTCCCTGCTCATGGCAGGGGGGCTGGAACTAGATGATCTTAAGGTCCTTTCCAACCCTAACTATTCTATGATTCTATGATTCTAAGGAATAGAGCAGTGACCCATGCTTAGATCCTGCTTCAGGCAGAAAGTGAAGACATACCAAACCTATGTTTTGATCCAGTACAGTGGATACCACTTAGCTGCAGTGAGAACTTCACCACGTAGGCAACAAACCTTACTTAACATCCACAGAGCAGTCATCACCTCACTGGTGAGACATACATAGGGCTGGCCAATGAACTCCAGCAAGTTAACCTAGAATCAGGTCTGAGCTGCTGTCTGCCTCTCTGTAAGGGCAGAGGTTTGAGAGAGAAGCCTCCAAGTAACATTCTTTAATGCAATATGCATTAACCTAAGAGCAGCAGCACCAGAGTGAGTGCTGCACCTGATGCTACTATATTTAGTGTAGCTTTGCAACTGACTTACACAGCGATGACAATAATTTGGGTGCAAGTCGTTGGACTGGTTCTTCTGAGTATTGAATTTGGCAGCACAAGCCTCATTTTTAGAGATGCTGACATTTCCTGGCCCATCTGAAGTCACTGGAAGCTACAACTTAGTTGTGCTAAAAAGAAAACCAAAAAAGCAGCTCAGAATTGATTAGCAAACTCTGTAACTGATGTTTTTCATCTCTTTGTGTCTCTTTTCCTGCCTGTGGCACAAAGGTAACAGTTTTAAGCCAGCAGGGATGGAGGAGGACTGTTAATGCTCAAGCTACGGGCAGCTTTAACCTGCTGATAAGGCTCATGGCTAAGGTGTCTCCATTGTTTGCCTTTGTTTTGTCTACATGGACAAACAGTTTACAGTAAAGCCTGACCACAGAGTGCACAGCAGAAGGGAGCCTTGAGCCTCTGTTCTACTAGACACTACTATAATTCAAGTAGTTATATAAATAATGAAACTGATTGCTTCACTGGAAAAGACTTTGCAACCCACAAATAAAAGTAATGCCCTACCCCTTGGTGAAATGAGTAATACAGCTTGCTTATTCCTGTACACAGGGCACACATACAGCTGGCTTTACATAAAAGAATCCTCTCTTGTTGCTACTTAAATCATTACTTAGGGTAAAGGGAAGAAAAGAGAAGGTGCAAAATTGCTCACTGAACCTTTCTTCTCCAGTTGGTACCTCCCAGATCTTTAATGAGCTTTGTGTTCTTTTAAGAATGATCATTGCTTTTTCACAAACTTAAAGTCTGTGATTTAATATCACTTCTGAAAACAAAACAGCACTGTCCACGTAACACAGGCAGCTTCTGATTGCCACACATCTTCATAATACCATGTCTTCTCCTCATCAGGTATTTCACAGAACTCTGTTCCTGAAAGGCTTCCTTTAAGGCTCTAGCAATCTGTTGCTCTGGGTCTGCTGTGGGTTTATATCCAACAATGCCCCAAGTGATTCTTCACTTCCAAACTCCATCAGGTTCTGGATAAATGATCCTAAAGGTCAAGTTGATCCTTGCATCTCTAGAATGATATTCCTTAGGCACTCGATGCTGTAAGTGGCATTAGGAAAAAACAAAGCAAACAAACAAAGCATGAACTTGTGTATCTAAAATACAGGTAATCTTACAAGGCAAAAAACCATTTCCTGTGATTTCCTTTTTATTAACATTTCAGTAAGGCAAAAACTTCATGTTCTGACTGCTCAGATCCACCAAAGACAAAGAGATCCTTCTAGGTTACTGTAGACTTGTTAAATCAAGTTGCAGCTTTCCTATATTCCAAGTTACTAAAGTGATTTTGCTCTTTCAGCTGCAGGCTGCAACCTTCATTGCTGAACTTCCATGCTGGAACTTTTGAGCTAACTCCCATTACATCACTTAGGACTTGAAAGAGAACCCACTGTTTCTGTGGGTGCTTTGAAATTCTGAGGCAGAAAGCAGTATTAGTGTGCTGGGAAACAACTGTGACACTGGAAGCGGAATGTCCCATACCTTTATGGGAGTGCCTCGTGCATACTGAGAAAACTGCATTGCAAGTAAAGCATATGAACTGTGTCAAGGAGTTCTTACCTGCCAATCCTCCTGGGTAGCTCCTTCCATCATCAGCAGAGTCCCATGATCAAGTGGGATTTTTAGTCTTTCTACGTAAGTATAGTCTCCATTCTCTTCCTAAAAAGAAACGTTAGACACTGAAGAAGTGAGCACATAGAAAACTAGTCCTCTGTAGCAGAGCTTTCAAAGCTGTGAGGGGAGAGGAGAAAAAGAAGCTCTTACAAGATCAAGAAGTCTAAACCTCTCTATTGCTGTATTTCATAAAGAGTTCAGGAGCAGAGCATTTTCGGGATGAAAGAAGCCATTGCATCTCACTGCCTGTACAACACAGGTTAAATTCAACAAGAAATTCCTACATCCAGTGCAAAGGCTGCAAAGCTTTTGGAAACATCCACTCCTGAAATAAACAGCTGTGTGTGGAGACATCACTCTGCAATAGCCACCATGATTCCAGTGGTTTACTGGTTTACCTCATCAAAAATACACATCTTCCTTCTATTCTGAGTTTGTCTTGGTTTGTATTATTTGTATATTTGTATTACCTGTAATTTTTATCTGCTAGATGAAGAACTTTTCCTATCCAAAGATATCTCCTCTTCCTTGTAAAACAAGTTGCCTTAAACTGTATCATCACCAAACAAAACACACAGCTCAACTGCAAGGCGAATAATTGGCAAACTTCTGTTAAGTCTTCAGATGAAGCACAACATCTTCAAAGCACAAATACTAACCTCTTAACTAACTTAACTAAGCTTAACTGTGCAGTGGCCCACCTTGATGGAGGTTTGTCTTTTTTAAAGTTCATGGCTTGCTGAAAAGCTCAAAGTAATGAGGTAAAGTATCAACTACTGGGAAAATTATGACCTGGACTTAAAATAAACTGTAGTGATAGGACAAGGAGTAACGAGTTCAAACTTAAACAGGGGAAGTTTAGGTTAGATAAAAGGAAGAAGTTCGTTACTGTGAGGGTGCTGAGGCACTGGAACAGCCAAGGGCCCAGGGCTGTGCCAGTGATTAAGCTCACTAAGCCTTTGGAATCAGGGAGTGCTGAAGGCACTCAGAATCACTTGTGATAGATACTTTTTGTAAGGACAATGCAAAACATACTTTTAAGCTCCTAGAATTATTAGCCATTTATCGTGCTCTATGAAATGTAAGGTAGAATGCCAAAAATGTTTTCTTAAACTTCAGAGGAAACAAGGAAAAAAACCCTCAAAAATAGGAATTATAAGCATGACTGGTGATGAAAGGCAGAGAAATACCATTGCATGGCTGTTTCCCATTTCACAGGATTACATCATTCCAGTTCATGGATGAAGAGTGGACTTATTTTTATCTCTTGCTCATCTTGATTAAAAAGGATAAATGATGCAGGAGAAAACATCCTACTGTCTTAGAAAGTCAGTATGGAAAAGCAACAGTTACCTTCTGTTTTAAATAGGCCATCTCTGAGTCTAGTTTTACTTAGAAGAAGAGACTTCTATGCCAATTGGTTTTGCAGAGCTGGCAAAGTCAGACAAACAGGTTTTCCTGTCTTAGATGTTCTTACTAACAGTGTCCACCCAATCTCATCCCAGAACTTTTACCTCTAGAGATGATGTCAGACATACAGAAAGCCCACCTGAGTTTCAAACATCAAGAAGTTTAGGAAGGAAATTTATTCTTGACATCTAAGGAAAAAAATACTGCTTTTCTTTAAATACTGATAACAACCATTGAAAGAAATACATCAGGTAACTTCTATACAGTCACTTATAACTCTTTTATGGTATTACAAAACCAGCTGCTTCCAAGAACAGGTCTAGTAAAGCAACTGTTCTGCTTCTTAGTATATCAGAATCTTAAGTTCCACGTTTAATACAATCCACACTTCACACTATCCAAGTACAGTGGTTAAAACTTCTTTATCCTTAATTCAAGTAACTACAGTAAAGAAGTGAGGAAAGTTCAGCATGAGTTAATGGGAAGCTGTGAATATAAAATCTGTAAGTATTCCTGGACTCCATCAGGGTTTATTTTTCTTGAAATGGTATCAAAATCAAGAAGGTTAAGAAAGAGAAAGTATCTAGTACAAACCTATATAAATCACCTAAGTGTGTTTCTTAGGTCTCAGGCAAGTGTATTGAGATAGTAGCAGGAAGTGGGTTCTGGATAGTGTTGTTATAAGGAGAAGTAAATGGAAATATCCTGTAGAAGAATGTATAACTAATATTGCAGTTATACCTGCAAATGATGCAGAATTAGTTTCAAAGGCTAAAGTCAGCTGCCTTCATGGAGAATGCTGGCTTCCAGTCTTCTGCTTTACCTATTACCAAGAAGACCATCCTTACAAAACTTCTAATCTCATGTTTTTTAGACTTTCATCTTGCTTGTATCCCTCTTTTCCAGTTTGCTCCTCTAGCCCCAGCTGTAGAAACACCCTCCTCCACAACAAAGTAGTCCCATCAATCAATGCTTCTGCATCTTTACCTGTTTATTCTCACTGTCTCTGATGAAATCCTCACTGCAGCTCTTTTCTTTATGGATTCTGTAAGAATGAGTATCAGTTATATTGCCCTTTCCCCACATAATCCACTTCCCTGCCTACACAGGACTATCTTTAAACTCCCTCAGCCTTTCTGCAGCTGACCTAGCAGCCTGCAAGTGAGCTTTAAGGCATTCACATCTTCCTCTCTGCTTGTCTATAGCTGCTCAAGTCCTGACAATATTGGTGGAAAACACCTCCTCCTCTGCAGCCACTGCTGTCTGCAAGCCTCCTTCATGCCAATCTACAAGTTTAATCCTGATTCAGGCCTCTGTTTCTACTGGGCTCCATATATTCCCATGTTCATCTTCAATTAGGCCTGTTAGGACACGAAGGGTTATTTTTCTGCTGTTTTCAAAAGCACTGGGAGATCTTTAACTTTTGCTAGAACAGAGTGGTTCAGCATTTCATTTGAAGGACAGACCCATCTGAAGGCTTAGATTCTTAGAACACCATGAACATCCTGTTATTATTTAACGCACTTGTGAAGCTCCCTCCCTCCCCAGCACCCACCAGTTTCCTTGGTTACAGATGGAAGAAGGGCAACCTGACAGCTGGCTTCCTAACTCCTTCCACAGTTCACACAGCAGTTCAATGCACAACTACACCCAATGGGTCCTTATGGTACCCAGACCTTTGTTAGAGAGCTACTCCCAGTGGGATGTGGGAGCTGACATTGAATATCATCCTTCACCCTGAACTAACATTTCCCACTCAGCTTCCAGAAAGACCTCATGAGATAACCTGGCATTGTCTGAGTTGAACAGAGTCAGCAATAATACAAATGGCAGTGAGACTGTATCATAAAGACTTTTCAGCTAAGTGAAATCAATACCTCTAGAGTAGGACGACTAAGTCATGTACGAGTGGGACAGGGGGACCTAAGGCTGTGTGGAAAACAGGACAAGGTCATGGTGCAGTGGTGACACATGCTGCGGACAAGCAGGAGAAGACTTGTTGACTAAACCAATAGACTGTGTGTGAATTGTGTATGAATCACAGCTCTAAACCAAAGCATTCATCTCCTGTTTTCAGTGTAGGCAGGAGCTACAATGATGGAGGGAGGAGGGAAAAGGAGGCAATAAAAAGTTTAAGTATTTACTAGAACTACAAGTAGAAAATAAAAGGAACCAGGTAAGTTCACTGCAGACTTGGATCTACCAAGTAAGCATCCAAAAAAACCTAGAAACCATTTAAAGCCAAGGCAAAACATCAGCTACAACCACATAACTGGTCCAAATAAACAGAAAAAGCAGTATGCAGAAGAAAGAATGCTTAAAAAGAAAAACTCCAGAGGGTAAAGTTTCTGGTATCATGTTCATTTCCATGAAATCTCTTTAATTCCAGTGGGGATTTTAACTCCCAAAATGTATCTGTAGCTTGTTTTACACAGATCAGGCTGAAATCTGAGTAAGAATTATTTCTGCTTACCCACAAGGGATGCTTGCTGATGCACATTCAAATAGGTTACGCATGTCTCTATACGCCTTTACCACCTACTATATGATGAACACTTATTCATCCAGTACAGCACTCACCAAAAAAGAAAAACAAAGGACTAAACCTTTCCTTCCCCTCACCCTGGAACAAATTTCAGGGGCAAAAGCCCATGCCAGTTGCACTTAACTACCAAAAAACAACCAACCAACATTACTACTTGTCTTTGTGGTTAGAGAAAGAGGATTTTATTCTCTAATAAGTTCACTTCAAGATACAATACGGAAAATAACTGCAACATGACCTGAAGTCTCTGAACACTCTGATCTGGTGTTCTTCAATAGCCCCACAAGGCATTACCTGACTTGTGGTACATACTGTTTTGTACCCAGTACATGATCACACACAGGCAGCCACTTCAGTTCTTTCTTCTTCCAGTAGCATTTATGCACAGTGAGCTTCTACCATAGTATTTCTCATCTTGTATTTCCACTACATCTTTCCATCTTTCATCTCAAAACACTTAAAAGCACAAGAACAGAGGAAAATTAAGGCCCTGGAAACTCTAGAATCTGAAATACTAGAATGTTAGCCCGCAAAAAGGTTTTATTTTGGGAGGACAAGGATTTTCACTCTCTTTCCATCCTTAG